TTAGGAAAAGACATTTAGATATTGTAGGGAGTGTAGTGTACTCAGTGTTTTGGTATCTGGCATCTGACATTACATTTATATTAAAGAACAACAGAAAGTTGAGATGCAAAACTATTCTCATTTTGTGTCTTTGCTCTGATTTTGTACTTGTTTTAGTGTTTGCATACCTCCATTCTCCAGGTCTTGCAGTGGCCACAGCACGGAGTAAGCGATCTGTTGCGGAGAGTAGAACAGAGGAGCCAAACAGCAAGTCGGCTGGGAAGAGTGCTGAACCCGAGATCCAAATTCATCCATGATGTACCACACAGGCACCTTTTCTTCTGCGGACTGCAACATGATCATTATCATCAAATCACAATGTGAGATCTTCGCTCTTCCTTGCAATCACCAACCTGATACGCCAGCAGTTGTCAGGCGCAAGAAGCTTCAAGCCTAGCTAGTATCTATCTGTTAGTTAATACTCATTTATGATCTGTAACAAGTATTCATTTTGATCTGATTATTGTAATAAATTTTGTAACATTTATTATAATCATCTGACTGGACCTTGGATCATTGAGTGTTAGTCACATTCTTCTAATTGGGCTGGGAGGACCCTTCCTGGAGAGAACGACATCAGAGGGAGAGAATTCTTTTGAGATAAGAATAACCCATATGAAATTTGACTGATCAAAATAGCCTAGCCAAAGAGGCAGCATATAACAAGTGTATATGTATAAGGATATACGTATGACTAATTGTTATGATGTAAACAAGGTTGAAGAGTATCACAAAAGGTAGACTTATGATATAAAGGGGGAAATCTATTATTTCAATAATAGACGAATCCGACGAGCGTTCTGTGTAGGCTGCCATCTTGTGGCGACGCCATTACTGAGCTGTTACCGGTGTGTAAACAAACCTCCGCGATAACCATAGACTGTGGTGATAACGCACCCTCGATGACAGCTCTATGTGACAGCTACAGCCAGGCAGAATGACTTGTTGGGTTAATGATGTTAGACAGTGGCCTCCAGTCACAGATGAAGGTACAAACGATCTTACAGATTATTTATGAAAATAGCTTGGCAAGCTAGCTAGGCTAACGTTAGCTAACGAGGAAATTATAAAAAGATCTGTCCATTTGGCAACAATAAATAAATGAATGACATCAAATAAACGAATTCATGTTTTTCATTTGTGTCCATTATTTATCTCATTTTCACATTGCAAAAGGCAAGGGTAAGGTACAGCTAGAAAGTATACATAATATCGACCAATTAGTGTTTTTAAACCATGGAAAGAGGTCAATATAACAGCAGGAGAACAATTATGTCACATAACGTTACATTTAGCTCAGGAAAGCCATTTAATGACCATAGCATGTTAATTGAATAGAAAAAATAGCTAGAGAGGAGATTTTGCTGAGGACTATATTACATATTTATTATATATTTTTTTACTTATGTCATTAAATAATTGTTATTATAGCAAAAAATGCATATTTAATTTAATTTATTTAAAAAAAAAAATCTGTCACAGTCAAGCAAATCAAACATTAACAACAGACATAACAGTACTGTTCCTAACGTTACTACCCCAATGCGCCCCTTCTGTTGTTTTAAAGGTATTCAAGAGTATTTTCTCCTTCGCCTGGCATCCGATGATTTTTCAAAATGCCAACATGTTTTCCCACTCGACATTATAAAAGTTGTAACGTTAGTGACAGTCGTAAATCGCGGGCTGTTTATTCCAGTGGACGCAAGTTGCAAATAAAACAATAGGAGGCAATGGCGCAACGCTACCCAGCAACAGCTCAGTAATGGCGCCCGCTTACTTCCGGTAGTTTCGCCGGATTCGTCTATAGAATACGAATTTATATAGACTGATCACCTAACTCTTGAGGACGCGACTAAAGGATAGGCTCTTTAGTTACCGCGGGATTATATTAATATCAAGGACGGGATATTGTATAATTAGGAACGGTATTAATCGTGAGATTCCATCACAATATATATATATATATATATATATATATATGGGGATGATTAGGAGGCCATTATAGACAGAGGCCAAGGGGCAAATTTGGCCAGGATGCCGAGGTTACACCCCTACTTGTTCGAAAGACATCCTGGGATTTTTTGTGACCACAGAGAGTCAGGACCTCGGTTTAACGTCTCATCCGAAGGACGGTGCTCTTTTGACAGTATAGTGTCCCCGTCACTTTACTGGGGCGTTAGGACCCACACAGACCACAGGGTGAGCACCCCCTGCTGGCCTCACTAACACCAAAAATCAGTCTACAGGCTTTCATGGACAACCTAGGAAGTCGGGTAAGGTCTCGATTTTTAGGTTACGTTACAAGCAGTTCACACATTGGCAAAAAAAGGCTATTATTACATGAATTTTCTTTAATATTTCTCCTTCTCTTACCCCTTGGGAAAGCTGATATGTTTGGTTGTATTTCCACATGTTGTCAAGGACTAGATCCACGATGTCCGGATCAGGAGCCTCTCCGTGGAAAGGCAGACCCATCAGACTGGCCATACGGATCAGCAGTCCGGGAATCTCCAGCAGCTGCTGCCGGGCGCTTTCCACCCTGTACGTCCAGGCGTGATCTACAAGAAACACACTACAAACCAAAAGACAGAAAACTATTTCAAAATCAACCAAAAAATCCAAGCATTCCTGCTATTGTTCATAGAGTAGAGTAGAGCATAGCGCTAGCAAAGGCAAGGTTACGGGTTTGATTCAAAGGGAGAGCTTGATCATAAAAAAGTTAATAAATAATAATAATAAATATAGCTTTGATACATGCAAGTCGCTTTTCTAAATTCATAACTGTGTAAACGCATTCAAACGTAAATGTAACAACAACAACAAAAATCAATAGCCTTCATGTCTGCACACTAAAAACTCTCAAAAACCTTCACCATTGTAATACAATGTTTTCATGGATATGTACCATGGTAATATAATATTTTTTTGGACAAATTACCATGATGACATGATTTTTTGTACTAGTTTAAAAACAGATTTTTTTCATATATGCCATGGTAATACCATATTGTATTGGACCCCAAATGTGTCAGAAAGTTGTTCATCTTAATACAATACACAATAAAAAACTACTGCACAACATGTCTCTTCTGCAAGATGTTTAGCCAAGATAACATTCGTTTACCACTTTATTCTGAGACCTTTGTGTCTCCTCCAAATGCACTCCCCAGAAGAAAAAAAAATGCTACTCTCGCTACTTGTGACAAGAAACTGTTCTAGATTAGATAAAGACCCTGTTTCAATCTCTGCGACACCTTCTGGTGAACTTTCTCTTTCCTGTGTGGGTTATTATGACACATGTCACGTTCTGTTGGGTAGTATATATATATATATATAGTGACTTTACAAGAGAGAGTGTGAGAGGGGAGGGCTGGTTACATAACAGAGAACTGAGAGCCCAATATATATTTACAATCTTCAAACCATGCTTGATGCTTCAAACCTATTAAACTTCCCTGACTGTCCGCCAAATGACTCCCTGCTGCCCTCACCTGGTGGGATCAGCAGCCTGCAGGACACTCTCTTTGGTCACAATCACTTTATAACCCATCTCAGCTTGAGGATTGGCTCTGCCTTCATTGTCCTCATCTTCCTCTTCTTCCACATGCATAATCCCAAACACTTCACCAGCATCAAATACCTAAAAGAGAAAGAAAATCTATTAATTTACCTCTCCATACAAGTTCAAACAACATTGGAGTCTTGGTACTTGGTTTTATTCGTGGGACAGTAAGACTATTATTTAAATAAAACTATTTATGAATATTTGCAGTTTCATAAAAATAAAACTACTTCCAGACGCTGTCAAAATGGCACACATACATTCACAGCAGTGATGGTTGTGTAATTTACCTCATTGGCTAGTTTTAAATGCAAACTCTTCCAGTAAAGCGGAGGGATTCTTGCCGCCTTTAAAGCGGGACTGTGCAGAGAGAGGAAGACCTGATACTCTTCATCCTCTTCTCCGTTCACATCACCGTTCTGCATCTTTCTTTGCTAGTTTTCTTTCTGACAACTTACATGTGTGTACTGTGCAGGCAGCGGTGCATTATGGGTAACATGTTTAAAGGGCCAGCGCGTCTGATTTCGTTTGTTGTATTATAATCAAGAGAGTCCGATCATTTTATGCCAATTTTAAGTTTGAAAAGCGGTCAATAAATGAGGGACACACAGTACAAAATGAATTTATTATCCTTTCAATTTTACTTTTAATTAACTGTAAGAATACAGTTAGTAGATTAATCAATTAATTAATGGAGTTAAAATTATTTTTATTAAAATAGTATTTGTAGATTAGTATCCGCCAAGAAAAAATACAATGAATAAAACAATCTGCCCAGCAACAAGACCAATACCGAAATATATTGCTTCATGTATTATCATTAAAATAAAATCCAAGTTACTTTGTTACAAATTAACATTTATTTCAAATTGTCTCGTCTTCGTGGACTTTTTGCCGATTCGTTGTTCTTCACAACTTCTGTTTATCTATAAAACATTTTATGCTCAAAATATTTATTATTGTTTCGATTGACCAATCAGAATGAAGCATTCCAGAAATCCGCAAGCAACGCTTTTTGTAAGGTTACTTTTTTCACGTTATTTTACAAATATAACCTTTGATAGTGAAATGACGATGTGGTCAAAAGAGACACATATTCACATTAAAATCACTTAAAAATTAAAATGTTGTAATTAAATAAATAAATAAAGCTTTTCAATGCAAACATATAAATACTAAAAGTGTATTTCTTCTAAAACTGTCTTGTTTTTTAATACACACACACATACACAAATGACATTATTTTATATATTGAACTTATTTAATAACAACACATTCTGTCTTTTATCATGTTCTGTACCATTTTTTTTTTTACAAATGTCAAGAAATTGCTGTGAGGGGGAGAGAATGGAAGATGAACAGGCTCTTTAATGCATGATATATGAAATCAAAAGATTAATGGGCTCAAATGGTTTATTTGATTGTACACATTTGTGGCATGGACTTGTGTGGCACATATCAAAGTATATTGAGGTCTTAGAGAAGTACTAGCACCAATTATAATGTAAACTCTGACATGCATACACTGTCCACATCAGCAAAACACAAGGTTCAGGCTGATACAACAGATCAAACTACAAAACACATCTTTGGTTCTGAATAGAGAAAGGCACATTTGGAGATTGTTCAACATATCATGGGAGGAGTGCTTGACATGATATATTTACTCTCGACGCTGGATTCCAGAGCATTTACCTACCCACGCTCATCTCTCTCATCGCCTAAATGTGATATGAATGACCAGGGGAGTCAAGTATATAGTTTCCTAAGCGGAAAAGGTTCTGCATTGGTCCATTTGCTTCTCATGATTACTTTGTGAGCCAACAATAAAGCACATCTGCTTAGAGGAAGGGCTTGTGTTGTTAATAGGACTGTCCGGTGGGTTTAGAGAAGAAGCCGCATTAAAGTCTCCTGGAAAAGTCCAGTTGTAGCTATCAAGGTTGCTGGCAGAATGAAGTATGTGTCCGTTGTAGTTTGTGACAGGCATCTGTAAATCTACCATTGGCGGTTCACTCACACATCTTCTCAAGGGGGCGCCACTGCACAATAAAAAAGACGACAAGACATTCAAGACATTTTGATTTTGGCTGTTTTGTGGAATAACATTGATTGATTCTAGGTATAACTTATATTTCACATATCTATTTTCCAAACACAAAATGAATGAACTTGGATTTATTCAAATTTCAAATATTTGTGTAATACAGAGATGGGACCAAGTCACACATGTGCAAGTCTCAAGTAAGTCTCAAGTCTTAACCTTCAAGTCTCAAGTAAGTCCCAAGTATTTTTTTCCTGGGCAAGTCAAGTCAAGTCAAGTCACAGGCTATGTCAAGTCAAGTCAAGTCAAGTCTTGTAGTAGGTCAAGTCAAGTCCAAGTCAAGTCACCTTATTATTGTAATTTTACCTGCAGAATTTGATCTATGGGCGTCAGTTTGGTTTGAAATGAACAGAGGCGCATTCGGAAGTGCATTTGGGAACAATGACGCATTCATTCACTTTTCTCTTTCACGCAGGTCATGTTTTGAAAGATGGTGTCCTGTAGTTTACTAATTTAAAGAAATAAAAATGTATACAAAAATGTGATGTCCGACTTCTTTTATGAAGAAGAAAGCCTTAAAGGGGTCATATAATGGTACATGCACTTTTACAAGTTGATTGTACTGAAATGTGTGTTGGCAGTGCCTGTACACAACCATCATATAATGATAAAAATCCATCCAGTGGTTTTGTTTTAATCTCCTTATACGTTTTCCCCTGCCTCAAATCGAGCCGTTCGAGCCTGTGACGTCACACGCTCGGAAGCCCCTCCCACGATTGTTGAATGACAGCCGAGTTTCAACACAGACCCGCCCTCGCTCGTGAGAGCGAGCTGTCAATCATAGTCTGCGCGGACCGGCGCGGTCATTGTTGATATGCTGGAGCACTGTCTGAGCAGAATGGCTCTAAGCGATTGTGGTGTTCTGTTCTTGGGTGTAATAACGAACACAGCAGTCATTTTAATGTTCCTAAATCCGAACCGCTGAAGACGCAGTGGCTGAGTTTGTTTTCGAAGGGAATATTCCCCACGAGCAACGTCAATGCTCTCATGTTTGCCCGAATCATTTCACACACCAGACTACTTTATAAACGAGGGTGAGTATAAAGCTGGATTTGCTAAGTAGCTGCTCATGAAAAAAGATCGGTACCAGATATTCGTGTTCCTGCTTAATCTCCAGAAGAACTGAAGTGAGTGTAACGTTTTATTAAACTTTATATTAATATTTATATCTTTGCAAATCGCTAGCTGCACACTTCACAATGAATGCGTCTAAGGTTTACACTCAGGGTACATTACGGCATGTTTTCTATGTATGACGTTCTCAATATAATTCATAATTCCACGTTTATACTGAACAACGCGTTATGGTTATTGTGTTATTGTGTTACAAACGGTTTACGCACAGAACAGAGGGGCGGGGTGAGCGAATTATCATTTAAAGTCATATGCACTGAAACGGCGTGCTGAAAACAGAGCTGTTTTTGACCAAGTAAAATAAGTGTTTTCTTACAATACTAATGAGAATTTTTAATTAAAGTATATTACAAACTTTTAATTTAGACCCTAAAGAATCATATTAGCTTGTACAAAAATGGCATTATATGCCCCTTTTAAGTTTTCAAAAAGCATTAGACATATGACCCACTATTCTGCTTCGTGTAAGTTATTTATCAATGAATTCAAACGCGTTGGCTGGCGCTGAGCCAGAGACATACGCTCTCAGTGCTGTCATATATCACAACTGTTCAGTGTTTTCAACCACATCATTTTTATTTTAGGTTTCAGACATTTAAATACACATAAGTACTAGCAAAAAATATATTTGTAGTTTGTAAAATATACACTGATGTCTATGGAAGCGTCAATAATAATCATTTCCATTATAATAAGACGCACGTTTTATTCATATCAGATACACATTGTGTAAGTAGCTTTACATTTTACCCTATTCTTCTCCCAGTTCACCGGTCACTTACTTTCATGTATTTCGTGAGAAGTTGAGAAATTGACGTGTTGTAAACTAACGTTAACATGGCACCGCCCATTCGCACATACAGCTCAACTAACGCGATCATTATAAAGGTGTTTAAACAACAAAACACATCCACTTACACATATTTGACAATCGGAATATCAGTGTTGCATGTTATAGCTAATACATTTGTGAACATTTTGAATAAAACAGGAAAAATGACATAAAAGCAGATTCATTCAGCGCTGTGTTGTGGTTGCGCTGTGTCACTTGACAAGCAATGATGCGTCACCATGAAACATTAAAGTGAGTGACAGGTTCTAAATAACGGTCGCCTAGAAAAACTCACGCTGGGGGATCAGTTAGAATAGTTTAAACTTACTTGTGAAAGGGTTAATGGCTACTTTAGCTATTACATTAGCTAACTACCAACTAACATTAACAAATTGACAAGCACTTACTGGGCAGAATGGCTCTTCAAATGACGGACGAAATTGGAGGTTGTCGTCTGGCTGTCCGCAATGTTAATGTTGTATGTCTTGCAAAGCGCTGTTCGTCTTTTGCCATCGTGTGAATAATTCTTGAAGCCGAAAGCAATGGGACTCGGTACCCCTCCGGCTGACATTTTGATGTGATATCTGATCTAAGTGGGCGTGGTGTGCGTAAGGTACGAGGTATGACTGATGATAGTGTCGTGATCAACTTTAAAACATTTTTTTATATATATTTTATATTCAAACTGAAAACATGATGTGATTAACACTCAAGTCATTCAAGTCATCGTGTCTCAAGTCAAGTCAAGTCAAGTCCCGAGTCTTTAACTTCCAAGTCCGAGTCAAGTCTCAAGTATTTCATTTTATGTCAAGTCAAGTCACAAGTCATAAAAATAGCGACTCGAGTCGACTCGAGTCCAAGTCACCAAGTCACAAGTCCCCATGTCTGGTGTAATATAATTTAGATTATCAGCATTCAAATATTTGACCCCAATTCTACACTAAAATCAATAGATTACAGATTTGAAATAAAAAAATCAGACGTTCAGCCAGCGGTTTGTGACGTCTGAGGCTGAGAGTAACAATTGAACAATTCCTGAGGGATCTCACCTGCTCGTCTCTGACGCGGCACCTTTCCAAGCCAGTTTGTAAACACCGCCTGCTACCTCAGCAAGCCAGCGCACATCTGCAGGGACTTCTGGGATCCACTCCCAAAACCTTTCAAACATGAACAGCACACAGCTGAAGTTAAAAAATCATCTGGGCACAACACTCTGACATCCATACAGATATCAACAGAGCCACAAGAGAGTTCAAGTGATGTTCCTGACCTCTGAGCTGCAGAGTACGCTGATTCCACCGGCAGCGTGTACGGCATCAGCATGTAGGAGGCCACGCGCAGCGGCAGCAAACCAGTCACCTGTGCCAGTAGACCATGCTTTTCTCTGCAGGCGTCGCAAAACACTGTTAACACATGCACATAGTATAGCTTGAAGTAATATAGTCACAGTCACACTTTAAAGTCATCGTCAGCGTCATCTCGGGTCATTGTAAACATTGTTTGCGGTCAGCCGTTATGCAAATTTGGAAAAAATGTTACTGATGACTCTTTTCGGCAGAATCGGTTCTTTCTTTTGGGAGACAAGAACTCTATTTATCGTGCACATTGATTTTTGAAACTTTGCAGAACTTTTACATTCACAAACAGCTATTTTACACACTACATTAAAGGTAATATCTGACATTAAGTATAATTCAGTGCTACCTTTCTTAATGGGCGTTGGCAGGTTATCGACAAGCTGTTCATCCAACCACCAGTGGTGTTTTCTCAAAAGGCGGAGTCTCCGCAGCACCCACTCTTTTGTGGTTTCTACCACGACAGGATCCTGATTGCCTGGGCAGCAGCAGGTGGGAGACGCCTGAATCAGAGCCATGTCTGCTCTAGGACACGCCGCTTGTAGCAAATCTATGAAGAGACATCACCGGTTATCTTCTAAACTGCAGCACATATCATATTTGGCATAACGTCTGAATGAACATTTGAGATAAAGAGATACTAGAGATAAAAAGCACTCACTGTTTTCCTGGAGAAATCGGAAGGCGTCTTTATACCCACTCTGACACATCTCTGCCAGCACCTGCCAAACACATGCAGAGACCATGATTTAACTCATTATTAAAAATGAAATTAATTAAATGATGCTTAGATAAATATGAACATGAGTGACTCCAATGAAATAGGAAATAGGGATTTTCTAACTACACTTAACTCTGGATTCATGTTTCTTAACCATTTAAAACCGGACAGAAATGATCATGGCAAATGAAATGGGTGAAAACTAAGATGTTGTTGTAAAATAAATGAAATGATCCAAAATATCCATCAAAGTGAGACTGCTAATCTGACAGTAAATAAGTTTTAGGGTCACCATAAAATCTAAATTTGATAATTCTTGTTTTTTTATGGAATATTGTAGTATTTATTATAAATTATTTATTTGTGTACATCAATACTTTTTTTAAAAAATTCAATTACCCTCGTAGTATTTCATTAAAACAACTTCCCCCCCCACTGGAAGCAACATCTAATCTCTTCTCTGATGACATGGACAAAACCAAGTCCTCCCCTACATTTTTTCTTGTTCGAGAAGCTGTTTCACTCAGATATACACAACTTCAGTTTCATGCCGACTTTAAGTTTTATGCTCATGTTGAAATCTGAAATTTGGAAATGTACTGTGCATGTTCTAGGAAGACCAAAGGTGCATCTAACAGCCACTGAGCAATAAATATGAGGCATTTAACAGCACGTTTCTCAAAGGCATATGTAAGACGGTGATTGTGTAATGGCATTGCAGCTCAGCCATGTGAATGTGTGTGCTTGTTGTTCTTACTTTGGGCTCTGGGGGGAACAAGGCTTTGCTCAGTCTGTACATGTTGTCAAGATTGACTTGTATGCTAGTGTTTGTGAAACGCAGTTCGTGGAAGCTGGTGGAATTGTCGTTTGGACAGATATCACTCTCTCCTGAGAATGGAGAAACGGTGATGGTGTTTTTCAGCTCCGACTGGGGCAGATTATCACTGATGCCACCATCCACATAACGCTGGCGAGAAAGAAAAAGAGAGAGATGTGCTATTTTAGGTCTCATTGAACATTCTTTGATGAGAATGAAAAAAAAGAATAAATAAATAAATATATATATATAGACACAAACACACACACACATTCTATGTTTTACGTATCAGGAAATCATCTGGTTCTTGGCAGGTCTGAAAATCAGGTAAATAGAACCTCAAATAAACAACAACATGACATGACATATTACACTGTGTCATTATTTATTTAACAAAAATAAAGCCAAAATAGTGGTGAAGGGGTGATGACTTGGGCTTGTTTTGTAGCCACAGGACCTGGGAACCTTGCAGTCATTGAGACCAATAGCAAAGTATTCTAGAATCAAATGTGAGCCAAAATTGGGTCATGCAACAGGACAATGGTCACAAGCACACCAGCAAATCTACACTAGAATGGCAGAAAAAGAAAAGAATCAATGCGTTGTACTGGCTCAGTCAAAGTCCAGACCTCAACCCGATTGAAATGCTGAGGCGGGACCTTAAGAGAGCTGTGCATAAACAGATGCCCACAAACCTCAAACGAATGAAGAAACGTTGTAAACGTTGGGCAAAATTTCCTTCACAACGATGTGAGAGACTTATAAGTCCCATAAGAAAATGATTACTTTAAGTTATTGCTGCTAAAGGTGTTTCTAATCTACGAGCAATTTAATCGTAGGGCGTACTTAGTTTTTCACACATGGCTTCTTCATTCTGGCTTTATTTTTGTTAAATAAATAATGACACAGTGTAATATGCCGTGTGTTGTTGACCTGCTAAAGACCAGATAATGTTTTATTATGTCCTGATACTTAAAACCATAGATTTCAAAAGGGTGTCCTTTCTTTTTCACATGACAGTATATGTATGTCTACATAATATGTATTTCTTTTATACATTTATAATTTAACATTTTATGTATAAAATATATATTATTTTAAATACAGTTTTTATAAAAGTAGTACATTTTTCCCAATTTAAAGTACAAATATTACATGCAGCCTCTCAATTAATGTCAACAAGCTGAATATATAATAATTATATATTTTGTCCAGATTATACAATTATAGTTTCAATATAGAATGTCAAGACTACGCACAAACTTTTACTTCGCCTCTCATACACTGTTCTTTTTAAGTTTTACATTTAGAGTTTGACTAACAGAACAATAAAATAATACATATACATTTTAGAACCACTATTTTGATAAAAAACAATTCCCCATTTATAATATTAAATATTAATATATGATAGCTAGCCAGATGCAGCACTTTATTGATCCCTGATTTGAGGCATTTGTAGGCTATTGCGAGTTCAAGGTGGGGTGATTCAGGACTGGTGGTGTGATCAGAACAGCCTTTATTTGTCTTAATAGGTCAACTTCACAGCTTATATTTACTCAATGAACCAGTCACAGCTTAATCTACTTAAAGTTTAGATAGATTTTCATTAATCTGGCTTTATTTATTTTTTATAGTAAAGTATCATCTGCATTGCCTGAATAAAGTCCAGGAACATTGTTCCATATAGTAACTAAATAATGAACAGCACTGGGCTGTAACTGTAAACAGAGACAAAGCTTTACAGGAACTGTTTGACCTCTCAGCTATTTCTATACATTGAAGTCTCCTCCCCTCTCTGTAGAACAAGTACACAATGTACAGACTATAGGAGAGGAGGGTGGTTTATTTGCAGACACACTAGGTAACAGTTCTACCAGAAGATCTTGATCAAAACAATAAGCACGTTTAATACTCTTATTCAGGCCAATGTTAGGTCAGTGTGCCCCAGTGACTGAATTCTTTGAAGTGCAATGAACTCCAGTTGCAATGTCCCAATTCTTCCATGTGAAATAAAATCCAACTTTAATACTTACCACACCACGGAAGGCAGGAGGGATTAAACCACAATATACGGGAATGAAGCAGCTACAAACAAGAGCCTGGGAATGGAGAGAAAACAGAAAGTGAAAATAGAGTTAAAGCAGTGTTATTTATTAGGGCCGGGTTAAAAATATTGATGTCTCTATTTTAATCGATTCTCATTTTGAAGAACCGATATCAATTCTTAAATCCCAAGAATCGATCTTTTAGTCTATGCTGTTTTCATTTGATGAATAAATAAAGCTTTGTAGTGCCTCGCATCCAATAAATCACAATAAGCTTTGTGCTTTGTTACTTCTGATATGATCCAAAGTCTCAGATTTCAAATCTTGTCACTTTTATTACGAAAATTAAACAATAAAGATAGTTTTGGCGCCCCTCAGATCAAGCGAAGCGCACGTGAACTCATCAGCTCTTTCTCTTTACTATTAGTTACAGCACGAAATAAACATGAATGACCATCAGAAGGTATGTTGAAAGATACAGTACAACTTACTGAATTCTGTATCATGTCTCATGTAATCGCTCAATCAGTGTTTCAACCGTTGGAAAGACATCAATAAAACAGCTTGTAAATGTAACGTAATATTACATTTACCTCAGAAAAGCCATTCACTGAATATAAACTTGTTAGTCAGCTAGATAAATGAACTCTCTTTTTGCTAAATATATTACATATTCATTAACCTGTTCTTTAATAATAATGTTTTTATGACAGACATCATTTAAATGTTTATATTAAAAACATAGTAGAAGCATATATATGTTATAAATTAAAAATGTATTATAACAATATTATAAAAAGTTCCTAATGTGTAATTTAAATGAAAGTAGCCTACTAATCAGTTAATTCTAGCCTTTAATATTATAGTGATGTACCAACGGGTTCTCTGTAGTTGAGAAATATTTTTTGCCTTGAGGAAATTTGCCATGTACTGTACCTGACAGGCCCCAATCAATCGATATTGAATCAAATCACAAGCTTGTGAATCGAAATCGAATTAAATCATGAAATTTGTGTCAATCCCCAGCATTTATATTATATACTAGAATAGTATGTATTATGATTTTGAATAAGCTCTTCCTTTTTTGTTTTTAATTTTAATGAGGTTTTTGTTTTTTTGTGCTTTTTAAAACATATTTCTATTTTGCTGTAATAAATTTTTTATTTCAGTTCTAGTTTTAGCCATTTTAGTACTTCAACTATGAATTATTTCATTTCAGTTAAGTTTCCAACGCAGCATTTTTCTCATTTAAAAAAAAATGTTTTTAATTTCGTGTTTTTACTTTATTTTATTTCTGCTTTATTTCAAGTAACAAGAAAAAAAATACTCTAGCTCAGCTAAAGCTATAAACCTGAAGTTATTTTAAATTGCATTTTTGCCATACTATGATATTGTTATGACCCAGACAGAATCTGCAGCTTTTTTGTACTTTATTTTGCACTACTTTTGAGGGAATTCTGATTCTTAAATGTGTTCAACTGAGCTCTTTTGTCAGCTGAAATGAGCTTAACCTCAATATTCAATAATGAACAAACACTGGGATTTGCCTAATGATTCTAGGGAACTCCTCCAATAAAATGTAATGACATCATTTTAAGAGCATTATCATCATGAGAATTAGTGTGATGTCATGTTATGCCCCATGAAATCATTTTCATATAGATAAAGGTATATAAACGTGGGTTATTAAAGTAACATAGAAACATGATTTTCTGTCAACACTTTTCTTAAAGTGATGCCCTAACCTGGATGAGTTCATCTTTGGAGCTGAAGTCCGACACCAGAACATTTTGCCCGTCCATGACCCGTGTAAGTGACACACACAGTCGGCCAGAGGCCAGCGTGTGCGCATTGGACGGCAGGTCACGATACAGGCCTCCACGTAGCACCTTTACTATGTTGAATGTTGGGTGCAAAGGGCCCAGATTACGCTTCCGTGCCTCCTTGGCAACGTTGATGACATCTTCACAACACTTCTCTACAGCAATGAAAAGAAACGGACACAAAAGTGATTTTAGAAATATGAAAAGGAAGTCAAGAACATAAAATGAACAAAAATTAACTGTAATACAGATATTGCACATTATGTTTCATCTTTGCTTTTAGTAATACACACAATCTCTGATCCTGTAATAAACCAAAGATTGATTAGCTCCTGACTCAGCTTTCTAGTTCAGATATATAACACGAAAGTGAAAGAATACAGTCATCCAGATAATATCACACAGACTTCCACCTTTGAGATTTACCAAACATGATATAATGGTTTCAGAATCATTAACTACTGTATTATGCATGGCTTGCATGCTTAAAAAATGAAATAAGTTGCTTTCTAAATTCATGCATAAATCAATAGCACAATTCTTCGATCTGACTTGGATACTGCAACAAGAAAACTCCAATATTTAAGGTTGTCAAATAACTGACACGTTCATGCAATGTGAACCACTGACTCTTGCTTAAATACCCAATAGAAAAAGCTTCTGGATTACACACTCAGAACCGAAGCACATTATATTGCTCAGAGGTTTCTCTCACATAGCTCTGGAGAGTTTAGTCATGTTTAATATGTTTCAAATGAGACAGAAAATAAAGTAAAGAGTTATAAAATGAATGTAGCATTGCTCAAATATTTTGGTCTTGTGATGAGATGACAAAAAATGTCTCTTTGTCTAGTAGGAATTGTGTGACTTGGTGACTATACCCGAAATAGATGAGTTTAGTAAAAAAAAAAGGGGAAAAAAAGACTAAAGTTTAGTAAAAAAAAAAAAGAAAACACTAAATTCAGACTGTTTATCATATTAAGCAATCATGTCTCTTCTATCCATTTAAGGTAGGAAAATGCAGAAATCCCCTAGAAAGCTAAAATCAGCAAAATGACTCAAAAGTCTAGTAAGCTGCCTACAAAGACAGCACTTTTGAAAGGGCAAGCTGATGATCTGCATACCTAAGCACGCCTCAGTAGCGAGCACGGATGCAGTGAGAGCCCCTGCTGAGGCTCCGTAGATCTTACTGGCCCCGCGGATCAGATACGGCGCTTGCTCCAGAAGACAGCTCGCAACACCGATGTGATAGATCCCTAAAAACCCGCATCCAGCGAACGACAGATTCCACCCTTCCTTTAAATCAAACATGACTGCGGCAAAATCTCAGGCTGTTCTTGCTCGCGTTGTAACTAATAGCATGTCTTCTGTAAAGGTGTTTGCTTGTCTCTGTGCACTGCAGAAGGAGTTGCTGTTGTTTAGGAGTTTTGCTCTCTCGAGTTATTGCGTCTGTCAGCATTGGAGCCAATAGGAAACTTGCTGGCTGCATACTAAAGGTAGAAAAGGGAGTAAGCAAGTTCCTGAATAGGCGGGGCTTGTTTCTGCAGTCCACACTGCGCCTACTCTCCACAACGTTGTCACGTACGGTTTGCGTTACATTCGCCCTATTTTTTTATTATTATTTTTTTACAGTCTATGCATTCGCCGAGCCAGACCAATCACAATAGTTTAAAATTATGACATTATTATGGCCCAATTTTACAGACAGGGGTTGACATTAACATTAAACCAGGATTAGGCTTAGTTTAATTAGGACATTTAAGTAGGCTGGCTTTTTCGAAAAAAAAAAAAAAACATTACTGGTGTGCATCTAGATATAATGCCATTGGTATATTTTAGTGCACGTTGCTTTCAGATAAAACAGCTCTGCGTTTTAGTCTCGGACTGGGCTTATGCCTTTTCTGTGAAACCAGGGGTTTAAGCAATTTAATTGAGACTGCTTGTAGTCTATGATGTATATAGGCTATATCAAATATCAATAGCCTACTTCTAATGTTGAAATTTAAACAATTATAATTCTTAGAGTACAAATGTCTCCAGGCAAAAATCATCCTGAGAATTGAATGCATGCAGCTCAATGCTTTTGTTACTGCTAGACAGAACTATAGTTCTCCAACTTGTGCACTTATCAGTAGGCATTTAAAACACTCTTTAGTAATTTGATATTCATATCATTAACAAACATTATTAGTCATTACATAATGCTAAAAATAGCCTAGATCGTAGCCTGATATATTGGCTACAATCTAAGTGTATGCACGATAAAATGTGTGCTAATTGACTGAGAAATCAGTCAAACGTGATATGAGTTTATTATTGTAGTCTATTAAAGCATGAATGGATACAGCTTTCTCACTCAGCAACCACAATTCTATAGTTTTACTTGTAGAAACGCGTTGTTTATTTACATAACCGATGAAGAGCTGGCGTGCTCGAGGACCCGCCCCGGACGACTGGTGCTGATGCTGAGCATCACTGAGAGAATCCTATTACATCATCTCTACGCCACCTGATTGGCTGAAGGTCAAGGCGCAAGCAAAGCGACACGTCTTTACCAAACAATCAAGGGCTGGTGGATATTAAATGCGTCCTCTTCTTCCCAAATCTTAAAAAAAAAAAAAAAAAAATCCCTACGAGCTTTTCGTGCTGTAATCGTTTGAAGGCATGGCGGAAAGCGAGGTGGACACGCCGAGCACCCCGATTGAATACGAGAGCAAATACTTCGAGTATCATGGAGTTCGACTCCCTCCTTTCTGCAGGGGCAAGATGGACGAGATCGCCAACTTTTCGTTAAGAAGTAGCGACATATGGATCGTTACATACCCCAAATCAGGTATGAAATCATATAGCTACAGTTTACATGCGCACGCTTTTCCTTCATAGCGGATGCAGAGGTGTTTTACCAAAATAAACGGTCATCACTGCACGTCACTTTTTTGCATATTTATTTTTAGACAATATGATTTAGATTGCATCAAAGCATGTTTCAGATAGCTTGTGAATATAATAAAAGGAATAAAAACAAACACACTAATATGCATATTTATGTAGCATGTTTGTTTAGTAAAAATAGCACTTCTAGACGATTAAAAATGTGTTTACTTCTATGTGTCTCATCAACGGCCTGGATTGTATTGGCAATAACAGTTTCAAACATTAATACTTTTCTAAATATTATAAAACCAGCCTGGCCCTAATCATGTCTGGTCCACCCTGAGAGTCTGATGGCCACATTACATTTTTAGAGCTGATGAGTTTGATTAAAAAAATAAGGTGCAAAGTTGCTTATTTTAGAGATTGAGTGATGTTCGGTTAATAAGAATGACAAATCAGAATTCTGGGTGCATGTTTGTATTGTGTGTTGATGTGAAATAAAAACGGCAAGATGAAATGTTTGCCATGCCCACACGTGTTCATTCACTGCAGAGGCGCTGTTTCCTTTTAGGATATATTGCTCCCTCTCCCACGCTTGCTTGTCAGTTTACTTGTGTAATAAGGCTGCTGAAAACAGACAAACTTTTTTTGTTGTCCTGCATCAAAAAAAGCAAGTTAGACTGGAACATGCATTACATTGCTTTCAACCCTGCTTGCCAAAAAGAAAACCATCCTTGGCTTGTAAAACAACATTAGGACAGTCTAAATGATATATAAATGAAAGCAGTTGTTTATACCATGATTGTGCCGTTATAAAGAGAAGAATTGAGAGGTAGACAGACAGCAGTGAGAGAGTGAGAAGGGTCTGAAATGACTTGGCTTTGCAGAGGATGTTGTGTCGCACCAGCATCTGTGTAATTGAGTCCGGAGAGCCGAGGGAAGGCCGAGCTCTGCTGCGTTACACACTGAAATGTGTGTCTCCAGCGGGGCCGTGATGGATGGCAGGTCAACAGAGTCACACGTTGCACTGCCAGTCGAATCTGCAGAGTAAACAGACATTGCCTTGTTGATACTGTAGTAGGTGTTGTGGGAATGGGGGAGTCAAACATTACAAGCTTCTTGATACTTCTCAAATAAAAACGAAATCAATTGAGGAAGTTTGCTGGATAATTTTTTATTTTGAGTGACTTCATTTTGTTTTCCAGTCCAGTGGGAGGAAGTGGCCACCAGGAGGGTCATGTGACCCTGTTGGTGTGTTTTCTTGAAGCGGATTGATTTTGTGAACAAAAATCGGTTGCAAATCAAACACATTGTCCTTTTTTTCATCACTTTTATTTGACTGTCAGGAAAGGAGTAAAAATTATTTTAAATGGATTAATAAACCCACGTCATCGCCGTACTGACACATAGACCTTATGTTTGTTATGCCCGTAAAATCCTGGATTCATAAAATTAGCTCCAGATCTTTAAAGTCGCTGTTTACAAAACATTATTCTGAATCTGTGCAGCAAATCAAGATTTTTTTTGACAGTATTAAATATAACTTTGAGGGAGAGACCTGGTGGGGTTGTATTTATTTCTATGTTGTTCCTTTAAAAGTAAGCATGCAGAATTTAATGTTCTCTAATTATCATTAATGATGTACTGAATCCAATCAATGAGAGTTCAATGTACAGTAATGTCAAAAGTGATTCGTTTTTAATGACCCTACAAGTTCGATTGAACCATCAAAAAGTGAGGAACATATTTTATTTTAAAAATATTTTAAATATGAGGGAAGAACAAACCCCTAAACATGCATGGTTAAGGTATTTATCTGGCAAAATGATTTGGCAAAAACCAAAGCTACAGGTTTATTTTACTACGCAAAAACAGAATGCATAGAAAAACGAAATGCTCACAGGAAAAGCATACCTACAACATGATCAGTTATTAATATTTTGTTGGTTCTCTCTTGTTTTTGCATGTGTTCATGATTTCTTTGTATAACAGCTTGGCCAAAAATGATGTCCGCAAAATTTGCCATGTTTCATTGCGTTATCACAAAAAATTGAATCCAAGCTCAACTATGCAATATGATTACAAAATCTTTAACACATTTTTAATAAAGGGTGAAGATGTCAATTTTCCCAGGGTAGACATCACTTTTGGACGACATCGCTACTGTATGATTTCCCTCCCAAAAAAACAAGCAAAAAAAGAAAAGAAAAACAGAATACATTTAACATTTAAACATACACATATCATTTGAGGTTGATAGCTCTGTTGTAGGAGATATATATATATACATTATATATATATATATATATATATATGTATATACGGCATACGTTATATGGTTGAATTATATAATTGCATAATATATAATGAACAACTCGCACCAGGGCCCTGGATACCCTAGCTATGGCCCAGTGTATGATTACATACATTTTAGAATAACTTGATTGTCCTTTTAAGAGGAAGGGCCCGTCAGAAGGCATTATGTGTTGATTCTGTTATTTAAAGAAGTTAATTTATACTTATCTGCTCTCAAATCAGCCAACAAAACTGCTCGATGAGAGCGAGAGACACATTATGATCATTTCAAGGTCATTTTTGCATTATGGCTTTGTTTTGTGTTCCCATAAGGCCTGAAAACTCAAAGAAAATGAGTTCTGCTGAATTGGCAAAACAATCTCTTCTACTAAACAACCTCAACTAAACGGAAGATAGTCACATGCCGGCCTGTTCTTTTCATCAAAAATGGGCAAAAATAAGAAGTGAAAGAGGACACTGATACGCCTCCACAGACACACACACCAAAGAGTGAAAAAAAAAAAAAAAAAAAAAAACACATAATCTACTTGATTATATACGATCAGTCCACAAACTTGCATTTTTCAGGCTTTTTAGAGGATCCAAATAAAACTGGCCAGGGTTTAAAGGCTCTTTTGTCAGTTGTCTAATGCTTGTCATGTGTTTCTGTCTTCTATAATTACTCTTACAATTAATTTGTTATGGCTTATAAATATTTCATTTGTACATTTTGTGCAAGATGTTTTCTTGGAATGTGACATCTTCCTGTTGGTCAGTACATTAAACAAAATATCCTTTTATTAACATCAAAGCTAAATGTCAGAACAAACTTATATATAACAAATAGATAAATACAATTAAAATATCAGATCTTCACCTGTTATCAATATTAATTCTGTAGGACGAGTAAACAGTTAAACGGAGGGGCTGCTCCTCATTAGCTGGGATGGTCAATACTAATAAAAAAAGAAAAGAAAATATAATTATCAAGATATCTAAAAAAAAAAAGAAAAAGAAAGTCAACCAAAGAATGGTTTTAAAATGGTTTTGGGGTTGCAGGTCAGGCTATATTCAGGCAAATGCATGAGTTTACTAATACTCAATTAATTTAAGTACAGCAGGCAAAGTCATCTTTTAACCATCAATAATACATCCGATATGACTTTCCTTCCTGCCTCACACACACATAGGTACGAGTTTGTTACAGGAGGTGGTGTATCTGGTGAGCCAGGGTGCGGACCCAGATGAAATCGGCCTCATGAATATTGATGAGCAGCTTCCTGTGCTGGAATACCCACAGCCGGGGTTGGAGATTATCCAGGTAAACTCTCTCTCACATGCACATATTTACCAAAACGATGGCCTTCAGCATGAGAATGCTGACCTCTGACCTCTTTGACTGACAAACCACAGTTTTATTTTTTGTTTATGTAGGAACTGACGTCGCCTCGTCTGATCAAAAGTCACCTGCCGTACCGATTCCTGCCCACAGCCATGCACAATGGAGAAGGCAAGGTCAGCTGGAACACAATGCAACATATTAATCATGACTTCCAATCGTTCATTAGGGGCTATTCACACAAAACTTTCTTTATTATTATACACACCATTGATACCTTTATTCAGCAAGGATGCAATAAAGTGTTTAGAAGTGACAGTCAAGACATTTATAACATTACAAAAGATTTCTGTTTCAAATAAATGAGTTATTTTGACATTTCTATTCAATCAAAGTAAGTAAGTAAGTAAATTTTATTTATAAAGCACATTTAACCATAGCGAAGCTATCCAAAGTGCTGAACAAAGTAATGTAAAATAAATAAATAAAAACACAGAAGCATAAAACCAAACAAAAACAAAACATTGAAACAGGATATCAAGTATCAAACGCCAGGCAATAGAGATATGTTTTCAATTTTGATTTAAAAGTACAAATGGAAGGTGCAAGGCGGATGTCCAGAGGCAATTGATTCCATAGACGGGGGGGGGGCGGCAACTGAGAAAGCTCTGTCTCCCTTAGTTTTTAAACGGGACTGGGGAATTGATAATAGAGCCTTGTCTGCAGATCTCAATCTGGATGGTGGCAGAGGAGTAAGAAGATCAGTAATATAAAATGGAGCATGATTATTAAGAGCTTTAAAAACAAACAACAAGATTTTAAACTGAATTCTAAAACGGAGCAAAGCATCCTGAAAAAAAAGTTTCACAGTTTCCACAAAAAGTTTAAGCAGCACAACTGTTCTCAACATTGAAAATAATTAGAAATGTTTCTTTACCAGCAAATTAGCATATTAGAATGAAGGATCATGTGACACTGAAGACTGAAGTAATGATGTAAATTCAACTTTGCCATCACAGGAATTAATTACATTTTAAAGGCTATATTAAATTTAGAAAACAATATTACTTTTTTAACTGTATTTTTGATCAAATAAATGCAGCCTTGATGAGCATAAGGGTAGTACAGTAGTGTACAATGAATTGCATTTGTATTTTACCTGGCTTATGGTTGAAGAGTCTTTTCATCAGTGATTCACTTAGATTTTGGTATGAATATGCCTTTCGACAAACATATCAATGTATGTCCTCTAGGTGATATATATGGCCAGGAACCCTAAAGACCTGGTGGTGTCCTACTATCAGTTTCATCGCTCTTTACGAACCATGAGCTACCGGGGAACGTTCCAGGAGTTCTGCAGGCGATTCATGAACGACAAGTGTGAGTGAGAGACATGACACAAAAGTGACAGATTTGCTCAAAAGGAAAGTGTATGAGAATGAACTTTTTTTTTTTGTCTGGTTCCCGTTTCTCTGCAGTGGGATACGGTTCCTGGTTTGAGCATGTTCAGGAGTTCTGGGAGCATCGCATGGACTCTAATGTTCTGTTTTTGAAATATGAGGACATGTACAAGGTACCGCCTGCATTGACACACACACACACTATACTTTACTATTATAGCATTTATGATTATTTTGAATTAGCATTCATTTTTATATTTTCAAGTTTAAGTAATTTTGGTATGTGATATATATATATATATATATATATATATATATATATATATATATATGTATACACATACATACTATATACGTATATACATACTTTTTTTATGTATAGATTTTAGTCATTCTTATTTTAGTTTTAGAAATTTAAGTACTTGTAACTGTACTTGCCAAGGCAACATTTCTAATATTCATTTAAGTTTTTAAGTTTATGTTTTTCCATCTATTATTTACATTTAATATTATTTCAGCTTTATTTCAAGTATCAAAAACATTTTTTTAATACTTTTAGTCAACAATAATAACACTGATATACTATTACTTTCTGCTTTAATTCAGTTTCCTGTAAACTGTGATGCAGAGATGGTAAATGACTCAAACTCATCGCATATCATGTTCCGCTTCATGCAATCTTTAAAAAAAATAGTAGTGAACAGTATATTCAGTGTTCACTATTTCTTATTTCAGTAAGCGGTGCATTAGTATTGTATTTTGAACACACCCTCTTCTACATTTGTCTATGTAGTATCAGTACAAAGAGGCCCCCTAATAATCACCTATTATCACAGTTGGTAACAGTTCCTGAAAAGTTTGATGATAGTGTGTTATGTATAGGAGGGGAATCACTGATAGTCAGTCTGCTCGGATATGTTGTTTCCATAATCTTTATGGGGTAATGCGATTAAGAGAGCTCAGAGTCCAGCAGGAAAGCACAAACAGAGACACACTGCATGTGACAGAGGCAACAGACTAGAAACATATTGATACATAGGACACCATGTTCCAGTAGTCTGTGATTCTTTAAGCAGTTAGAGGTCAGAGACTATATGCTGAACATAAAGGATTTTATATACGTTAATATCAAATATGGTAACACTTTACAATAAGGCACCATTTGCATTAACTAGCATGAACTAACAATGAGCAATACCTTTGTTAAAAATGTTCATGTTAGTTCCTAGTGCATTAACTAATGTTAACGCAGATACAACCTTTGATTTTAATAATGTATTAGGAAATGTTGAGATTAACATTAACTAACATTAATAAATGCTGTAGAAGTATTGTTCATTGTTAGTTTGATAACTAATGTAGTTAATGTTAACAAATAAAACCTTATTGTAAGGAGTTATCATATATTTAAAACCGTGGTTTTCATTGTTTCAGCACTTCATAAGTTCAAGAAATATGAATTAGATTGCTATTATTGTTTAAAAGTTTATAAATAATAAACTAAAATAACAAAATATTAACAAATAGCAAAAGTTGCACATACATGAATAGCAATTTAGTTTTTCTGGACACAGAACAGCTGGTAGATAAAAAGTCAGCTGCACCTCGAGGTCCCTGAAATCATTTGAAAAAGTTAATTATGTTGTAACAGACAAGCGTATTTTTTATGTAAAACAAAGTTATGATGTAAGCCTATTACGTGTTCATGTATTCATCTGAGTAAGACCAAGGTGTGAGTCATAATTACATAACTGAAAGACTGTCATTCTCTCTTTCTCTCCACCTTTCCTGCTGCCTGTAATTGTTGTCTCTGGAGGATCTGGGGACCCTGGTGGAGCAGCTGGCTCGATTCCTGGGTATCGCGTGTGATAAAGCCCAGCGGGAGAGCATGGTGGAGAGCTGTAACCAACTCATTGAGCAGTGCTGCAACTCCGAGGCCCTGTCCATCTACAGGGGTAAGAGACAGACGACAGGAGAAAAGGGGGGCGCTCGAAAGTATAAAGGGGGGGGCGTAGCAAGGCTAAGGGATAGTGTACATACATTCAGAAGATTGCTATGCAAAAGAAACCTCTTCAGTAAGTAAATAATTGAACACAAAATATTAATTTGACATTTTATTACCTCATGATGACTCGCAGTACTGTTATCACTTGTAGTGGTTTTTATCGTTTAATAACAGACCGCTAGATGGTGTAATTGAAGAATCAGATTTGAGTATTGCAGGGAGCCGTGTAAAAATATAAATGAAAGATGCATGGTTCTGCACTAAGCATGGACAAGTTTATAAAAGGACTGCCTGTGCCAGAACGTAAAGCAGATGATGAATCTACTTTAAACTTCACAACTACCCAAACAACATGGCTACACCAGACGCGAGCGGCGCGGCGAGAAAAACGCAAACAGAACCCATTATAATCAGTGATGCTTTCTACACTGGATGCATCCCGACACGACAAATCCCGGACAGTAAACTGATGCCCCGTTCGATTTCTAACGCAGGCCTACTCCAAGAGCTCACACGACTTCTGAAAAACAAATGGATTTGCGATGTTTGCTTTGTCCAGTATAGACAGCCTCATCAAACTGTTGCTGTGCTACACGACCGGTGTAGACACTGTTTTAAAGACAAGAAAGACATATCTCGCCCTTGGATTCACCAGTACAACGGTGGGTAATAAAGGTGTATTAGCTTATATTAGCTTCTGACAGTATGAAGCCAAACAAGTTCAGACGCCACTTAATGCTGTGACACACCACGCCGACGTCAAAGAACTAGCGGCGATGAAAGCCGCTTGTGTTGTCGGCTCGTGTCGGCTGCGTCTGGGTCAAAAACTAGTGTCAACTAGTGTGTGCGTTCTGCACCTGCGTATAAGGAAATAAGTCTTCATCAGCAGGTATCAATAGTCTACATTCAAAAAGGGAAACTGGAAGAGCTAGATCTGTGGACATACAAAGCAAGAATTTACCAGTTTACAACAGTCTCGCTCGTTAGACGGATTCGTGATTTTTTCTTGTGCGCTGATTCACTAAGCTGAACAGCCAATCAGAGTGATCTCTCTCACCGACGAGCTCCGCCTCTGATTCCACATGAATCGGCCGAAAAACGCAGACGTGTCTGACAAGAGCCAGCCGAAAAAATAGGACAAAAATGTGTGTCCCGGCTTTAAAGTGATAGTTCACCCCAAAAATAAAACAAATACTTGCCCTCAAGTTCTTCCAAACCTGTATAAGTTTCTTTCTTCTGTTGAACACAAAAGAAAATATTTTAAAGGATATTGGTAACCAGAAAGTTGACGGAACCCACTGACTTCCATAGTAGGGAAAAATATACGATGGAAGTCAATGGGGGCCGTCAACTGTCTTTAAGAGACTTCACATCACAAACACAAAGAGAAGCTTGTTGAAGTTGATCTGTTTTAGTACTGTATTAATTACAATGTTTCAAGCAAGGTCATGCCTGAGAGTGTCTTTATGTGGGTGCACGTCAGTGGGGGGCATGCAAATACTTTCCTCTAAAAGAGGGGCAGAAACGGTTTGGGAACCACTGCCATCATGTGGTGAATATGCATGGTGCATCTTTATTTCGATGGAAATTTCTGTTGCTATCTGTTGTCTTTGTCCTAGTATTTTGTTATTATTTAATAAACTTTATGAAAACCCCCCATTTTTTTCATAAAAGAGAGGATTTGCCATTTATTTTAGATTATTTTATAATTTGCACTTTAGTTCTGTTTTGTTGTTTTCTTGTGTCTTGTTCCGTTTTCTTTTAGTGCATGGATTCTTGGCTTGGCATGACTGACTACTCACTACATACAGTACAGTAGGGAGTACTTATTATATTAACAGTGAACATGAAGATGAAGATGGAAAATGTGTGTGAGAGAGGTACAGAAGGTGAGTCTGGGTGATGTCAAGTCTTTAAGCAATGTTCTGGATCCGATTGCCATAATATTGGTTACCATAAAAAATTCAAAATTGTCAATAAAAAAATCAAATAAAGAAAAAATAGGCACTTACAATGCAATTAAACCAAGCCAGCATTCCAGAAGGTATGAAGCAAAAATTATTCAGTAAAAAAATATTTATTATTTGAGGTGTATAGTTAGTTAATCTAAATTGTCCTTTTTAAAATGGATGTATTACCTCACCTGTCTGACTGATGTAATTCCTATAAGTTCTATCATATAAAAGCAGCATTATATGCATGATATTTAAGTTGAAAGATTTTACAGTCAGTGCTTTTTGAAAACACAACTGAGGAATGAATTATTCTCTTTGGCAATCAAAGTTATGGCACAAATGCTGCCAATAGAGTTTAACTAGGGTTGAAACCAAAACTGTGAGGTAATTTTGAAATCAAGAGCTCTTCTAACTCTGTTTTCATCTGCTTCAGGTCGTTTTGGGCTTTGGAAGGACGTTTTCACTGTGTCCATGAACGAAAAGTTTGATGGTGTTTACCGACAGAAGATGGCAAAGTCTGACCTGACCTTTGACTTTAACCTGTGAGGAAGCGACACTGGACTTTCTGTTAACCGCTCAAACAACAAACCAACCAACCAACCAATCACCTGCTGTGCTTAATGTCACCTGATGGACGTTCCCCATCCAGATTTTATCTTTCCATCCCCGCCATCTCTTGCTCATCAATGCTTTCATTAGCTACTCGAAAGTTAATTCTTAGTACAGTTAACTAAGAGGCTTTTTTTTTTCTCTTGTGTATTTGTATTAACATTGCATAAGTGTAAGCACAGTGCTTGTTGCGTTTGCACATTGTACAGAGCTATTCCATATCCCAAAGGCGCTTATGAAATGTGTATTTATTAAAAATTACAAATGAAAATGATTTAGACTATATTCTATGCTAAAGCCCTTACGACAAACTCTCAGGAGGATTCTTGAAATCATTGGCTAATAGATGCACCAAATATGCAGTCATCCAATCACAACTCAGGTCGTGAAAACCTGAGCCTCATGATGAATGCTGATTGGCTCCTGGCCAAAAGATCTTAACGTATGTGTGAAATGTCATTTCGCTGCTTCTTGTGCACCTCTCTTAGTGGCTTCTAGACGGCTTTGACTTATATGGTATGTATAGTATGGCTATTCATTGATACCGTAATGAAAAGTAATTCACATTGTTGTTATGTTCACTTGATTATATCTATATTTTCATTTTTGAGAGCATCGCATCTATTTGCATGATCCCCCAGGATCATTCACATGAACATACACTCTGTCGAAGAGTAGGAAGGGGATCTTTTTAGAACATTTCACATCAGTTACATGCATATCGTACTATAATGCATCAGAAGTGTTGTTATGAGCAGATATGAGTTTGTATTTCATCATTATGTTTTGGTCAAAAGTATAAAAGATGCGTAAGGTGAACTCAGATACCAGCACTCATAACAAAGTGACTTGTAACCTCACCTATCCAACAATTGCTGTGTTCAGAATGGATTACTAGCATACCATAGGTTGAATTTAGGGTGATGGGACACTTTTTGCCATTGAGATGACTTGGAAAAAGTGTCCCAATCAACCTGAATGTACCCTACAGTATGCTATTGTTAAAAAAATAGTATGTATGCATTATGCCACTAAAAAGTTCAATCAGTTGTATGCCACATTGTCACATGACTTCATTAAGCGCATGTTTAATTCAGAGAGTGATGGTTGTGTCAGAAAATAAAATGACTATTTTGCATTTTTGATCCCAAAAATCTCTTGGCATTCTGATCATATAATGACACGATAACATATTACATCTGGTTGATTTGCAACACATTTTGAATTGAAGGTTGAGTGCATTTTAATGTGGGATTCTGTTTTCTAGTTTCAGCCATGGAATAAAACACATAATTTAGACTTTTTATCTCATAGTTCGGACTTTTTTTCTCTTGCGAGTTTTATTTCTCACAATTCAGAATTTTTTCCTCTCAATTGCAAGTTTATATGCCGCAATTCTGACTGTTTTTCTCAGAGTTGTGAGATGTAAACTCACAATTGCGAAGCTATAAAGTCCAAATTGCAAAATATAAACTCACAATTCCGAGAAAAAGAATTGTGAGATACAAATTGACATACTTTATATGCAATGGCGGAAACAAGCTTCCATTATTTTCTGTGCAGTGTGCGCTAATGGACATTTGGAAAAAGGTAGTAGGTAATCCGATATTTTATGCATACAGAAAATTTGCATACTGTGCACAATATACACACTGTACTGTGTACTATAGAAATAGTAAGAGTAGGCTAGTATACTAGTATGCTATTTAGGAAATAGCACATGGCTGAATTTGAAATAGCACACTAGCATACTATTACAATTTCTCCCCATATAGCAAATAGTATTATGGCGCTTTTCCATTACCAGTACCAGCTCGACTCGACTCGACTCGCCTTGGCTCGCCTCGACTCGGCTCGCTTTTCGCTCCGTTTTCCATTGCAGAAAGTACCGCCACACATAGTACCCGGTCGTCATAGCGACGCTGTTAACAGACGTAACAGAAGCCTTTCGTTCCTCGTTGCCCCATCAAGCTCTCGCTGGATCCTCTCTTCGGCAACCAAACAAAGGAATGTCTGCACCTCCTCGTTTGACCACGACGTATTCTTCCGAGTTGCCATAATAATAGTAGTAAGTTTAGTAACTATCTCTGGCCAAACTATTTAAAAATGGCGGGGTTATTCTGGATACTCCATCTGGCGCGTGCAATGATGACGCAGTGAATAGTGGCGAATAGTCTCTCTGACCAATCAGCAGTCGGCATTGTTTTCACGTCACATTTTAGTATCGCCTTAGCTCGCTTAGAACCTCGCCGGAGGTGGTACGAAAAAAAGTACCCGAAAGCAGGTACAGGTACAACTTTTACACAGTGGAAAACCAAACAAAGGCGAGTCGAGTCGAGCCGAGCCGAGCCGAGGCGAGCTGGTACTGTGTAGTGGAAAAGCGCCATTAGTATGCTATTCTGAATTCAGCCAATCACTTAATTCAGGAAGAGAACAGACAGGAGAGAGGCTGTGTTGTCATAAAGCTCTGAAACATCACATCCAATCAGGAAGCTGCGTCATCACAGTCACTGAATTTATTCCTCTACACCACGCTCACATATCATACTACCTTTCCAGTGCTTAGTCTCTGGTATTAGCCTGATTCCTCACGTCTTTATTGTGTGGGACTCAACAGAAACTCATTGGCTATATCAACATGTACTGCTCATCCTGCACAGATTTAGTCCTGCTATGCTGTTTGATGGAACTCAACACATTGGGGTTTTTTCAGTCTTGCTTGCTGGTTTATTAATAAAGTGACATCTTCAGGCCTTGAATTTCAGTTTGCCTACTGTTTGTTTCTGCTTTTTTTCTTGCCAAGAGCGTAAATACAACGTATCAGTCGTAAAAAGACGGCTAACACAGCGGCTTAAAATCTAAGATGCTGGATTAACAACAGTTGGAAACTGAAGCATGCTGAGTACAAAGAGGTTTCTGAACAATCACAGATGGCACCAAAGGACAAGTTAAGTTCCTATGGCAACAAATCAGTGCCTCTGATATACATGTGTCCTTAAATCGCCAATCGGGTATTAAAAAGAAAGCAGTGTGAGCAGAGCACCATGTTTAAATGTTACACCATTGCATGGTCTCATTGAATAGTGTTATTAAAGGAATAGTTTGCCCCCAAATTAACAAATAATCATTTTAGGGTAACCTCCCTTTAACTTTACAAGAGACAAAAGTTACACGCTTACCCCATAATGCATTAAAAACTATTTGTCCGGTTACATTTCTGGGTCTGGGTGGAACATAAGCTTATAAAACAGTCATAACATATTATTTTTCAACTAAAACCATATTGTATCTAATCAGTACCTTCTCATTAATGAGTGAATGCACTTTTGAATGTTACCATGTTTTTACCATGTTTATTCACCCCCTTTTAATTAAACAAATTGAGAACTACAGCAATAGTGTCATCATGTAAGAAAATATATTTTTATCATTATTCCTGAGATTTTTTATTTTAATATATCATTCGATTATTCAAATTATACCGGTTGATTTGAGTATTTTAATTAATTAATAATTCCCTCTAACCCCTATCACTGCATTGGTCTTTTAAAACCAATCTTTAAATTGCATTCATACGGTGAATAATGAACCCCCTGAAGACTTTGAAATGTAAAATTGCTCAAACATCATCTTTTCATACATGCCAGATGCATACAAATGATATAAAGTAGGCTCCATTATGCATCTTAAAATATATTAATAAATCCCACAGCATTTATTTGTAAAAGACCACGGTGCTCACCCATTAGTGACTAATAATTAGTGATCAAAAGTCACACACTCTCAAAGCCAATAGAGGGCAGTGCAGTCTAAAGGCAGAAATATTGCCGAAACATATTTTAAAATTGATCTTTTATCCTTTGGGGCATTCTATGAAACAAGCGTCCCGTTTTCCAGCTTGATAAGGTTGTTGGGGCATTTTTTTGGTAAGATTTTCAACACGTAATTAATAATCTGCATTGTGCCATCTCAAGCTAAATTAAACACACATTGTCATCTTTATTGGGATATAATTTAATAAGGTTAAATAAATAAGGTTATTTAAAAAACGTCCTCTGGGAGAGAAAGTTAGTAAAACTGGGATAGAACTGGGAAAAATGCGAGAGAGAGAGAGAGAGAGAGAGAGAGAGATGTAACACAGTGATATTCTGTTTGCTGTGTCAGTCTGTGCAAGCGCCCCTGGTTGCCCACTTCTGCTCTCTCCACATCTCTCGCTTCACTCATCAAACACAGTCGAGTTATGACTGTCAGAATGCTGGTTGCTGCAATATTGATCTCTTGAGTCCTGCTCATAAAAACTGTACTGTATTTACAGGGCTCAACGGGAAGGGTGGCCTGATGGCTCGGGCCTGGGATGGAACTGTCACTTGCTGTATATTGCAAACTTTTCTTTGATATTTTGAACACTTATTTTGTGAATTCTGCTGATGTAATAATGGCACCACATTATCTGTGGATATAAGGTTAAATGAGGTTTGTTGAAATTGTGACTACTGATAGTCTTAAGTTAAGATGGGTTGTATATAATATAATAAACTATTTGATGTATGTGTAATGGAAAAATATAAATAGCTGTTTTGCACTGTTTGCAATTTCTAGCAAAAGTTCTTATGTTCATAGTTTTCAGGGAGTTACAATATCGAAAATTCCAGCTATTATTCCAAATAATACAAATATAAAAATGATAAAACTATTTGATGTCAAATAATGTGTAATGAAAAATTTAAATCGATTTTTTTTCTGGAACTAATATAAAATAATGTATAATGTTGTTTGGTGAACTGTGTAAATAATGACTATTTCAAATCTAAATAAAATATTTATTTCAGGTTTTCATTCATAACAGGCTCTTTTGTGTAAAATCATGTCCTTTTGTCTCAACAAAGAGCACTGAAAAACAGCTCAAGTTTCTTTTATAACAATTCTTAAAGAATATGGTGTTGTTAATTATAAGTGTAACACGGTCGGTCAATGGACCTGGAAATACTTCTGATATATTAATCAATTCCATGTGTCAGCCGATCAGATTCAAGAGTTCAATAATGACATAAAAGCTTACTTAATACACAACTGTCTTCTTCCTTTCCCCCTAGAGACCATCACCAATCCTACCAACCTAAATGAACACACACACACACACACACACACACACACATAATTGCTCCTTTCATTCCCTATGAAAAAAACTGGAAACACACCGAATTTTACCCAAATTGTACCCAAACATCACAATAAAACTCAATAGAACCCTTGTAATATCTGCTGACAAAGTTGCTGCTTAGAAAAAAGTTTAAACAAATAATATTTAGTGGCAATATAGAACATATATCATCTACAAGAGCACGTGACCTGGTACATGCAGATCTCGAAAAGAGTTAACTAACACATCAGAGAAGATTTGTTGACATTGGTAAGCAATGCTTAAAACTTTACAATAAGGTCATAGACAGTAAAAATCAGTGTTGACATTATTCTTCAATTATTGTTGGCATTATTCTTAAATATGACTATGAAATTGTGTCCTGAATTTATAGCACAGTTTGCACACATGACTGTAATTACTTTGAAAGGATGAGAATTAATACAATTAGATCTTTATAAAAAAAATGCAGCTTTTTATATATACAAAAATATTATTCCAAACATTGTCATATATTATTTAT